GAGAAACTGTGAGAGTGTTGTAAGAGAAGAGAATCAAAATTGGACTAGAAAAGTAGGAGAGGTACCTGGAGTTCTGACACATAGTGTAACTGCTGGCATTGTGAAGAGCAGTGAAAGATCTGTTATTGAATTATTTTGCCATAATTAACTTTTAGCTTTCCTATTTCACTATTTAGGAAGCGTACTGAATGTTTCTGCTTGTTACATATTACTTTTAATGTTCTATACAAATATGTCATTATATCTAAATGATAGGGAACAGGAAATGGAACATTTCTGAGTTTAAACGCTAAAGGAAATCTAGGAAAAAAATCAGGGTGATTGAGAAGCGGGGAGGAAGCCTTGAGTTCCCTATCTATTTTTAAGCCAGCTCCAGGTGCTTTTCCATTGGATGCAGTTCATCTGGGGGAGGAAGGTGAGCTGCAGTGCCAGTGCGTGCAATGAAGGAGGGTGTGAGCATTCCATCTGCATTGCGTGGAATTTCCTTCTCCCACAGAAATCCCCACTTATTCCCGGCCAATGTGGGGGTGAAGGGCAAGAGGGGCAATGAGTTCAGACACAGTTGGAGGGAAACTGTGAGTATCAGAAATGTAATTGGTTTGGATGCCTTTGATTGGATGTCACCTTGGCAGGAAAAAAAAAAAAAAAGAAAGAAAAAAAGAAAAAAAGAAAAAAAGAAAGAGGAAAAGAGCCCTCTTCTGTCTCAATACTCAAACTGCTGAACTTGGATACACAAAGATCACAAGCAAAGAACGTTGTGCAGCAACACCAAAATCTGTATTCTGAGCTGAATGAACATCCAAAAATGCCTTTGTAGCTCACTTGGTATAAATAATCATCTAGAGTATTTTAAACTAGATTAAAATTATTTTAAAATCATGTCTGTCTCTACATTCAGTGGTGAACAATCGCCCTTACTTTTTACTGGTTTCATGTATCACCATAGCATACAGTAAAGGAATCAAATTACTCAATCTATCTCTTCTAAAATAATTCAAAGTACATCTCTGATATATGCTTTTCATATGTATTTTACAACTGTTGTCTTGTATGCTGCTCCTTCAAGACGCAGCACTAAACATCACACACAAGTAAGCATACCAAGGATAAATTAATTATGCTTTTAGCAAAATCCAAGGTATTTTACAACTATGATATGGCAAAGAAAAGAAAACAGAAATAACTTTTTTTTTGCCTTCTCCTCTTGCCTTTTATACTCCCCCCACGTATTCAAGTTCAAAGATGCACCCAGTCTTACTTGATTTATCAGTTTGGATAGGACAGATTTACACCTTAAGGAAAGCAGCAAGAAGGACTCTGGCAAAGCTCCTAAGTCCTCCTCGTAACATGCACTGTTGTTTTTAGATGCTTAATGTCAGTCAGCCAAGGTCTAAAATAGAGAGACTGCATCTCAAACAAACAAACGCCATTGCCCATATATGTTCTTTCACATTTAAAGTAGGCTTATTTCTCACTCATTTTTAGGACTATTGAATTTGAATTGTGACAACCTATTCTTCACTACTGGTTTCAAGCTACTTTATGCTTTCTAGTGAATGGCAGTTAAATCAGATTTTGTTACTGTATCAACTCATTTTGTTTGATATTTTTTGTAATAAGGCTAAATTAGCAAGAATACTTTCCTTTGCCTAAAACCCTGAATAGGCATATACTGAAAAATACAATGTAGCATTAAAAAAAAAAAAAACACAAAAACTGAAGATAAATGAATGGCAGAATAAATAATTTATGCTAATGAAATTACTGCAATTAGTAGTTCCACAATGACCCTTTTAAAAGCCACAGCTGTTAATGTCAGGAAGTGCTGTCACCGCTGACCTTATCATAAGAGAAAGTGACAAATTGGAAATGCAGGGAAGACCAATCATCAAAGAGGTCTGTTCGGGAACGATTAGTGTTTTCTGAAAAACAGCGTGAATTACAACCAGCTGCTCTCTGGCTCGGCTTGTCTCCCATGCTGTGCCATTTTGTTAAGCTCGGTAACAGTAGTTATTTTGCCCCATTGAGACAAGTTGTCTCGGGCCACTTCCAGCTCTACCGGAACCCACTTCTTCCCTTGCTGATTTACAAATGAAATTGTTGTTAGAGGGCTTTTCAGGGCTGCTGAGTAGAGACCTCTCATAAGGATCATGTGTGAGAAGGCTATCTTTGCCTAGGAAGATCCGAATGGCAGGGTGTGCAGGTCGTACACAATAGGAAAGGAGAAAAAGGCTGTAAGAGATGTCAGTGTGAAGCCAAGTGCTGCACAAATCTGCATAAAATGCCCATTCCTGCTGACCAGCCTTGCTGTTAGAAACATTTTTTTGCAAGTGCATGTAATGTAAGATGGATTTATGCTAGCTTTGCTTCAACTAATGTATTTTTTTATTATTATTATTTGTAAAGCAATTTCTTTCTGCTTTCCCTAAGTGTAAATCATTCTTTGTTTAGTCCTTGCATTAATTTCTGTTGTAGTAATTGCAGGTGAAATACGTATTCTTTTAAACTGGATTTTAAAAGTCACGAGAAAATAATGAGGTTTCTCACTGAGAAAAATGGCAAGATTTTCTGCATCAGCCTGATTATAATATTAATGATGTAGGCTTAAAACATTTAACTACATCAACAACCATTCGTGAGCAATTTTCCCAAAGTTCTCTAAGCATTATTGACAATGCTTTGGTAAATTACGTGTGACTTTCCTAAGAGTTGGTGTAGCTCATTTAATTCATATTAATTGATTTTTAGGCTTCCCTTGATTAATTGAACTGGGTTAGTCTTGTACAGAATGCAATAAATAATCATTAAAATGAAGGAGATGTGACTCCACAAATTATAAAGTTAAGTATGCTAGAAGTCACAGAGGACAAAATGGAAGTTAGTTACAATGATGGAGTTAAATAGGCTTTCCTAGAATTTACCTGTTAATTTAGCATGCAGTATCCTAGCTTAGACCTGTATATGGATATATTTTAGTATTATAGGTAGATATGATCCTTTAAAATGAAGATAAATGAATTTAGAGTGTTCCTTTATCCCAGGGAAGTACATTCCTAAAGCTTCATTTTCAAAAAATTAAGGAAACCAACAACCAGTAGCTGGCGAAGTTACCAACATGTTTTCCCCTCTGCTCACATTCGGCTGCCCTGAGGGCATCTGGTCTGAGCTGGGGGCATGTAATGGATGGCCAATCCTGTTTGATCCAAAGTTAATGGCATTAAAAAAAAAAAAATCACTCTGTTCTGAGTGGGAATTTAACAATATTTGAAGTATGTGAAGATCAGAGGTTTTAGGGTAACCCATTTTCTTTATGGGATATATTTTTAGGTGGGGTTTCCAGAGGTGGAATAGAAAAATCATATCGCGTACACAGAATCATAGAATAGTTAAGACTGGACAAGATCACTAAGATTATCTGGTCTAACCATGACTAACTTTATTAATTCTGTATATGTAGTAATTGACATCATCTGTGCTTTTAGATTTTAGGAGTATTTATTTAAAAAAAAAAAAAAAAAAAGTATTGCTACATGAGATTAACACTGGGAGCTGACTGGTTCATTCCCACTTCTCAATTTGAAGCCCTGCAAAAATAGAAAAGTATAACTGCTGTCTATCTGAAATAGCATAGTTTAAACAATGATTAAAATACTCTGAATTCTAATTTGACAATGACCAAATGGTAATCTGACAGATGGACCACTTGGATGGTTGAATGGTTATACTCAAAGAGTTGCAGTCAATAGCTCAATGTCCAGGTGGAGATCAGTGAGAAGTAGTATTTTCAGGGGTCAGTAGTGGGTCAGACACTATTTAACATCTTTGTTGGTGACGTGTTCAGTGGGACTGAGTACACCCTCAGCAAGATGGTGATGACACCCAGCTATGAGGTATGGTCGCCAAGCTAGAGGTAAGGGATGCCATCCAGAAGGACCTTTACAGGTTTGAGAGGTGGGCCTGTGCAAACCTCATGAAGTTCAACAAGGTCAGGTGCACGTGGGTTGAGGCAACCCCTAGCAAAAATACAAACTGGGCACAGGTTGCATTGAGATCATGTTGAGAGAAAAGGACTTGGAGGTGTTGGATGATGAAAAATTCAACACAAGCCAACTTGTAGTCAAGAAAGACAACTTGGGCTGCATCAAAAGAAGCATGACTAGTTGAGCAAGGATGGTGATTGTCCCCCTCTATTCTGCCTACTTGAAACCCTACCTGCAGTACAGCATTCAGCTCTGGGACCCTCAGCACAAGAAGGACATTGAGCTGTCGGAACAAGTCCAGAGGAGAGCCAAAAAGATGAGAGGCTGGAGCACCTCTCCTGTGAAAACAGGCTGAGAGAGCTGGAATTGTTCAGCCTAGAGAAGAGAAGGTTCCAGGGAGACTTTATAACAACCTTCTAGTAACTAAAGAGGGCCTGCAGGAAAGCCAGTGAGGAACATTTTACAAGGACATATAGTGATAGGACAAGAAGTAATGTCTTTAAACTAAAAGAGGGTATATTTAGATTAGATGTAAGGAAGAAATTCCTTACACATAGGGTGGTGAGGCACTGAAACAGGTTACACAGGTAACGTGTTTATTCAATGCCAGGGTCAGTGGGGCTCTGGGTAACCTGGTCTACTGGAAGATGTCCTTGCCAACAGCAGAAATGTTGAAACTAGATTATTTTTAAGGTCCCTTCCAACCTAAACCAGTCTATCATTCCATGCTGAAACACCCAATCACAAAACAGCAACTAGATGGACATTTGAGCATCCTGAGGGAGCAGTGCAGCAGGTGCAGTTAGACTATTCTTACAAAGTTCTCAAAGTCATCAAAATTCCATGAGCTACAAATATGGTCATATGGAAACAAAAGGTGATGCTTTTAATAGAGATCCATGAAGTGTACATGAATTTTGTTTGTAGATCAGCTTCTTGGGGCACATATTGTTAGAATCTCTCAAGAATGATAGCTAATGATCCTGACTCCTGAATAATGCATTATCTTTTTCCCTGTAGGTAGAAGATCTAAAATTCAAACTTGCTTCACAAGAGGCAGAACTGCAACAGAGAAATCAAGATGCTGAAGCTTTGACTGCTAAGATAGGGTTTCAGACTGAGAAAGTGAGCCAAGAAAAGGCCATTGTCAAAGCAGAGGAGCAAAAGGTCGGTCTAATTCCCCCGTTTAGTGCTGTTGAGCTATATTTAGCAGAAAATAAACCTTTTTAGGTGAATAGTTTTGAACAACTTCCTCTCCAGGGAGCATAAAGTCTAAAGAATTATTATACTTACACATGTAACAGCATTTCACACCATGATTACCACTTGACCTTTCTTTACATTATGCCTTTTCCCAACCTTTTAGCTGTTTTAATGAGATGAAAGAACAATAAATACTGAGCTCATTCAAGCATTTAATGGATGTGGATCTTGAGAATCAGACCTATTTGTAATACAGTAAAGGTCAGAGAGTCATCTCTGAGCACTTCAGATTTCTAAAGGCTTTGAGGCTCTAGGTGAATTGAACAACTCGATTGATACAAAAGTCCATTCCAGTACATTGCAATATTGCAAGATGCAAGCCTTGCATTTTAAGATTATAATGGAATTCCTAATTGTATGCGTCATCAATGTTGAATCTTCCTCCTACTCCTCTCAGTTCAGCCTATAAATATTAGTTATCAACTTCCACACTGGAAACATAGAGGTTTAGTGTATTAGCTCTCACCACAGACTGGATAGAAATGCAGTTTCATTTTGATTCTATAATTTTAATCTACTGTTAAAAGTGCAGGTTTTGAAATTAAACACTGAAGTATTGAATGCTATAAACTGAAGCTCCTCTGCCTTTAAATCTGAAAGACTCATTCAACTTTAGCATTTGCTATGAAAACTTAGGTCCATTGTGTCATTTATCAATATTGCAAAGAGAAAATTTTAAAGGACTCACAATAGCTGTTCACATCTGATTTGGAGCTATGGAAACTTTAAGTTGCTAAAAAAACTGTAAACCTTTTTCAGATGCTGGTGAATGGGGAAATTCATGCTGTTTAGGAGCAATCAAAACTTTCATTCACTTCTGTTTTGCTTTTTTAAAAAAATATTATTATTAGCTGATATTTAGTACTTTCAATAATAACCTTATGCCTCACTCTAATTTTAATGAAGAAAAGGTGGTTTTTGCCACTGACATAAATGAAGACTGGGTCAGGACCTTTATATTTCTTTGTGTTATGCTAATTACGGATTTCAGCCTTTCACTAGTCCATATCTTCTGTAGGGATCAAAAATTGCTGTGAAGTTTCAAGTCAGAACAGTGCAATTAATTAAGCTTGAGCAAATTGTATCAAAAAGCTCAATGTCCTAACAATCTCTTTTCTTTGGTGCTTTTTCCCTATTAGTTCTATGTGCTTATGATGCTACAATTTAAGTTGATCAAAAAATAAAGCATTCATTAAGCAACTAGGTGAAACACATTGAGTGACTGTCATGGAATAATAGTACCTTTGGGGCACTTCGTTTCAGAGATGACATTCAGCATGTTACATTAATGATTACCATATTCTCCTGTTCATTGTTTTATTGCACTTGTGAAATGTTTTCACTGGAATGAAGGTGTTGTTTAATGCTACATTGTTATAAGGCTAATGGAAGCTTCTGATTATTAATCTTCTTCTAACCTTTTTGTTACCAAAAGTCCCCAAACCGATAACCCACCAGCTAAGCAATTTGTGATTAATCTTTGTAACTGATTAAAATGCACTGCTTTTTAAAAAATTTCCTGTTCTGCAGGTTTCAAACTATAGTTTATAAGGCAGTTTTCAGTTTTACAACACTTGAGCCATTAAATGCCCCAGAGGTATTCCCCAGAGTGAAGCGTTATGTAAGAAAAGATGAAGAGTGGAAGTCACTTTAGATCAGACTCTTCAGCAAACACAGGAACAGCTTGGGTGCCCTGTAAACATGGCAGAATTACATATCCATACAGTAATCAACAAAGGTCTATGACTGTTGCACTACTGCGGTTTAAAATACTGGGCAGTAACGCTGCTGTCATTTTATGGGCAGTCTGCGTGCTCTGAATGCTTCCAACCAGAGAGGTTCCCGGAGGAAGATGCATGTGACACTGCCTTTTTAGATGGGAACCCTTCCAGAAGAAGAATCAAACACAGGAGGTTGTAGGTGGGTACAGGACAGGGACAAAGATGAATCCGCACCAACCAGCTTGTCTGATTTACCTCTCTCAGTTGAAGTATGCTGTTTGCATTGCATATTTAAGGTGCTGTGCTCATGGTCTGATTGCTAAGGGCACAAAATAGGGCACATTCCTTCTAGCTTTTCTAACAATTTAGCCATGATATAAGATCTCTATAGTGTAGAAATCATTGATGTGAAGGGGACTAAACTTCTGGAGAAAGAGTGAAAATCTCCTTTATCTCTTGTGAAGGGAAATAGATTTGAGAAATACTTTTCTAAGTGTTATCTGAAACTTGTTTGTTTTTCTCTCCTTTAAGAAAAGTGAACTGGGCCTGTAATTGATTTGAGTGTCAGCACGCAATAAGTAACTAAGCGTAAGGGAAAAAAGAGACAGGACTGTAATGGAATTTGTGTGACTTATATTAACTGTTTGTTTTAATGAAGAATACTGTCTCACGTAAGAAGCGCTGCATACTTGGAGTGATGCTTTTTCACCTGGTTAAATGCTTAGTAAGGTTAACCAAAGGAGCATCTTGACTGAGTTTTAAATTTCTTCCTTTAAGTTAATTTTGAGAACATGGGCCTCAAATTGTCTTAGAGACCATATAGATAAATTCAAAGCTGCAACTTTATATGCATTATTTAATTAATTAATTTATTAATTTAAAAAATACACTGTGACTAAGGTGCAAACCAGTAAGAACTGGGAATTTAATCCTGAAAACTACACCAGTTCTGTTCAGCACTTTTCTTTCACAAGAGACAAAGATTTAACTTTATTAGTAACAATTCTGGCGTAATGAATATTGATTTTTAATCCTTTTTATTTCCATGGCTAATGTCTGTTTGTGTCCCTTCTAATAAACGGATACATGAAAAGTGCCCCTGACAGTAGTAAAATAAATTTTGTAAGGATCTTACATTCTTACAGAAACTTGTTATTGCTAATGCACAATGCTTGATCCAAATATTAACATCATGATCACTGTGATATCCTCCTTCTCTCTAATTAGACTTTGTTTAGGCAAGACCCAACAGGAAACATGCCTGTGAGATGAGCATGAGGTACAAGGATAATGATGAGCTTGTATAACTAACTTCAGCCCCAAGCAATGTGTCCTGAGAAATATGCATGATAATCTCCCAAATATGCAACTGCAGATGTCACAGTGCCCTCCAGGGAAAATTTACCAGATAGATTTGCACCCATGGAATTATAATCAGCTTTTAAACTGCTAGTTAAGTCAGTGCAGGAAGTTGTGAAAGTGCTCGGATTTCACTTAAAACTGGAGCTAAATGATATAAAGTCAATTTGAGCCACTGCTGAGCCAAAAAAATACTCTTGATAAATCTGCCTACATTGATATGTTTAATTTCCAAGCCTGAAATGAAATACTGTTTTCATACAGGATATGTTCTTTTCTTTTGTTCAGCCCCTTGTTTGAGTCCTACAGTTTCAGAGTTAGCGCAGCAAAACAAAAAAGAATGAAGCAAATTTACCAAAAGATGGAGGATGTTTTGACAAATCTGATGCATTAATCTATGCCCAAAAATACAGTGAATGTTTTACTTTGCAGGGAACACCCCAGTGTATGACCAGGACTAACTATTAACTTTCTTTGATTTTCTAAAAAGGAGCCTTTAAAATGCAAAAAATGGTGGAGTGATTACACAAAGGTTAAAATGGTCACCAGGTTAACCTGTCATCAGGTTAACGGCACATATCTAACATGAGAGCAAGAATAAGACAGTGTTGTGGAAGATGGAATCAGAGCAGCCTGTGAAAAAGAATTTGAAAAGTTATTATTTTGAGTATAAACTGTATTTGGCAGATAAATCAGATAAAGTTTCTTGCTTTCCAGTTTGCAAAACTGAGCACTGGAGGATGACTGAGAGTACCCCATTATTATAATAATCCAGGTAAAGACTGTCTGTGATCACACAGGCAGTTGTCCATAAACATAAACAAAAATGATTTCAGGTGTACCTATCCAAAACTATTTTGTTTCCTACCTCCTGTGTATATGTATTCACCTCTCCGTCTCAGTTTGTGTTTTCTCTGCAAAAGGGGCAGTCAGCAGGTTTCCACCTCCTGCTATTGTAAAGAAAGGGCATAGCAACGCGCAGAGATGCTTTATGATTCAGAGCATAAGGAACAAAGGAAGCCCGTATAGCAAATTTTCTCTCTGGAGCAATGAGAATAAATGTGATCTAGCTACCCCGAGGTTAAAATACTATTTTAGCAGAAATGCTACATACAGAATGAAGCGATAAGAAACTCAGAAACCTGTTGACTTGTAGTGATAGTAGACAGCCGATTTGTCAGCATATCCTTCTGTCTCCAGCTCTTTATCATCTTACCCCTGTTAGATACAAGGCCTCCTCTAAAGCAGTTGTTTTGTATAAAGTAATCTGTTTTAAAATCTGCAGCAGTAGCTTTCAATCCAAATCATAAAATTCATTGTTTTAATGGGTGGCAGCAATCCAAGCAGAAGTACACTGGAAACAGAAAGAGTGTGAGGCTATCCTGATGAAAGCCAAACCTGCTCCTGTCACTGCTAAAGTAGCCTTAGTTCACACTTAAAAAGGTAAAGACTGCATATTCTGATGTCTGTTAAAAAATTGTTTATCATTTAAAGCTAAAAAGTTATTCCAGTGGCAAGCTGCCAAGCACAATCAAAATTCCATTGTTTCTGTGCAAAAACAGGTACCTGAAATGGTGTTACACTCCCCATCAGCCTACGTTGTGCCTTACAAACAGAATTGCAGAGGCTGTGGTCATGAATATTTTGTCGTGTAATATTAGTGATAGCCTTCAAAATTCCTGGTAATCAGAAAGTTCTGTGGAACAAATCCACTATTACTGCACAGTCCTGCACATGTTTCTCTGCTCTTCTTTTTTCAGGTTAATCTTACAGATCTGAAAGCCTTCACCAACCAGTGGCTGCAACAAATGGTACTGCTGCAGTAGTGGTTTTTACTGACTTATGAAGAGAAAGTGCCCAAAGACCAAAGCTGGAGACTCTGGAAGTCTTTATTGGAAACTTAATGGCCAGTGGGGTATGGTATAGGATCCGAAATTAGAGGAGAAAAGGATACTTAAAAATTGGAGGCAGAGAAGGAGAAACTAAATAACATATTTATTTTCTCACAGTTTAAGTCTCTGGGGATAAATGCTGATTCTGCTTTGTTCTCTTCTGCGTGAGTTTGGTGACAAGTTTAAGCCAGCCTGAGCACCGTGGGAATTTATTAATAGGAAAAATAGATGAAAGGACAAAGGGAGAGAATTTTGCGATATTTATCTCATCTCTAAAAACTTCTTACATGAGTCACAAAATATGTTTGTGAGGGTAAATTCTTCGGGATTTGAGGGGAAATAATGTTTTTGCTTTTACAGCATAACGTTTCCAAAACAACAATTTAGTGCAAGATTTCAGTTTTGCATTTGTGATGAAAGTAGGAGTTAGCTTCTGGTTCTTTGAAATGGAAAAGAAATAATGCACTGGAGCTTCTTTTCTTGCAGGTTGATAACTTCTTTAAAGCCTCAATAAACTATGATAAGGAATGTGTACCTGGGTTATCAATACAGTAAATTTCACTTAGTTGTTTATGTACCAATTCCTCTCTTTACTATCACTGATGGGGAAATTTCTGTTATTGAAGGTCTTTATTATCTTAGAAAGCTGAATGTAGTGTTCTGAGGAAAATGCAAAAGCAGCCTCCTTCCAAGGAAGATTTCAGTACTTGACGGAATGTATATATGTATTTATTTTTAGAAAAAAGCTGGAAAAGAAGTGCAGCTGTCCATGTCCTTTCAATTTTCATTATGGTTCAACAGTTGGGAAATATTCATCTCCAAATGTGAGTGTTCAAATCAAAATGCCCATCCGAGTCTGGCTGTCTAGAGTGTAAGACATGTAGTTGATCATCTGTGTTTCCCCTGAACACTTGGTAGCAGGATGGCTTCATTCATCCTAGTATGATAGCAGATTATCATTTAATTATGAGATAGTAAACAGATAATCAGGTTAGAAATCTACTTAAACTTAATGCCTGTCTTACGCTTGTATTCTAAAACTATGAAAAAGTTACATATAGATTAATTTCAGCTGAAAAATAGGCCCTCCTGAGAATGTACTTGGTTCTGCTTAAAATACCCTTACATGAGCTATAATTGCATATCCTCTAGTCTCTCTATATACAGAAAGAAATCTCTACATGTTTTACTGATGTGTAGATGAACGGTTCTAAAGCAAATATACATAATAAAAGACCAACAGGGTAATGTGAAAATCTTTCAACAGAAGTTATTTGCAAATTTGATAATGAATGTGAGACCAACTTTTTGTCTAATGTACTTACGTTGTAAGTCTCTTCAGTGTGTACGTGAAGTAGAGTCAAAATGTTGTGCATTGGTCCAGGCAAATACTAAATCAGCAACAGCTAAAGAGAATCTACACTCAATCAGGAAGAAGCTTGTTTTAAGCAATACTTTACTTATATGCATACTTCTCTAATATCTTGAGCCCATTTAACTTATCTATTTAATTTATTTATTTTGTTTTGTTTTTAATTGATTTTATTACTTGCCAGCTAAAGTATTAAGGATATATTTACATTGAGCATTGTCATTATTTTTTCCTACTGCACAACATTCAGTGGTTTTGGTGAGTGTACATGAAGCTGTTCCTAAGAAATTGCTGAATATCCTGAAAGCCATCTGGTCATGTTATCCAAATGGATTAGTAAACCAAAAATAAGAGTTGGTACAAATAGTTGGCTATGATTTTTACTAGATATATATGCTGTGTGTTTGTAAGTAAGCTACTGGACTATCACAATAGCTAGAGTAAAGGACTATGGCATCTCCAGCTTGTCTCTGCTCGAGCTTGTCATTAAAATATCATCAAACCTCCCCTGATTTTTTTGAAAGACCTCCAAACACATACACATGCGTACATGCATTAGAAGTGGAAAATTTGACTATGTACTGTTACTGACAAAAATATTTTCTATATTGACTGAACAGAAGATTATGTTTACCAGCAAGTACCCATTTAACATTTCTGAGGGATTATTTGTGGATGTTTATTAATTATTCATTTAATAGAGTAACTGCAACACAAAGCACCTCTGAAACAAACAAAGACACTTTTGGTATCTTGGGAGATGGTGGGTGGAAAAAGTTCCTCTACTGCAAGCTAATTACTCTGACTTATTGAACACGACTTTAAATGATTCAAAAGACGTGGCATTAACTGAATTCAGAAGGCTTTGTTTTGATTCTTTCTGTTGTGAGTATTTAGACCTGGAATCTCAATTTAAGTTATCAAGCAATAAATGAAGGCTGGTTGATTTCATAATGTGGGGATTGTTCTCACTCTTTTCTCTTAAAGTATCAATTTAAGAGAATGAAAAAGATTTGCTTTTAATGAAACTTAGAAAACTGTGGATTCCGGTATCTGAAAGTTTTATTCTTTCTTTCAGTAATTCCCATTTAGTTCTCCTGCTACTATAGTACCCAGCTTTTCCTGTTCTGGAGATGCAGATTTAATGGTTAAACAAAAATAGCAGTGATCAACCTTTCTCTTCTAGTCCTCTCTGCCCTTCACCCTCAAAATCCCACCAGCTGGTACAACATGTATTTTTCCCTACTTGTGATATTGCCTTCCTGTGACCTCTTCATCACATCGACCCTAATGAATGTTGTATCTACACTAAAAAATATCTTGATTGAAAAGCCTTTTTTATTACTGCATATAGCTACACCAATGGATGTCTATTAAATGCAAATATTTTTTGGACAAAATTGTCCTTAATTACTTTTTATTATTAATTTTAATGCACAGCAGTCACCCCTGAAACTCATAGAGGTTTGTTGGGATTTTTTTAAGCATCCCTCAGAGGAGAGCACTAATATATCTCCATTCTTTGTCTGACAGTATCTCCAAAAATCCTTTCTTATTTGAGGTGATCTTGCTGTTGAATAAGTCTCCAGCTTTAAGCCTAGTCCTGTCTTTTATTATTTGTTTGCTTCCACTTCCATCTCTTCATAAATTTTTTGGAGTTGATTAGCAGCAGTTTATTTTCTCAGCTCTACTGAGTTCCTGATGGGAAAAGAGTTCTGCACCACAGAAAAAGCTGCAGTTCCCTTTACAGTTATCTGTTTCCTGTGTTAGGCTAACATTTGTCACGCTGCCATTTATTATGAGTTTGGTTTTTTTTGCTAACTGCTTTATACAACCCATATTGCACATTCTGACAGGCTTCCTTTTGCACAGTGAGAGGATCCAGATAACCGATTCATAGAACAGCTGGTAACTTGATTAACATCTTTAACGAGGTCCTTAGCTTCTTAACTTGTGATTTTCCAGTAGGTATTACTTATAAGAATATAAGCTCCATAGCTCACAAGGCTGGTGAATGGAGAGCATTGTGGTACATTAAATTCTCTGTTGATCGATGGAAAATAGTGCACATTGGAAGGAAAATAATGAGCTGCTCAAGAAGATGTAGTTCGCTGTATAGAGGAGCCTGTGAAATGAGCATAAAGAGAAGGCAAAATTTTTTATTCTGGGAAAGAGTGTAAAAAAAAGTAGGCCTAGATTTAATTGACATTAGGTACTGATAACTCCATGTACACAGTCAGCCTGCAGAACACTCCTGTTCCTAATTTCAGCTGTATGCCTCCGTAGTCTGTAAAACATAGAAGTCCTCAAATGCTGAAGCAAAGTAACTCCTGATGTAAAGCCATTCTTACATACATCTCTCTGATTTGGATCCAAACTGCAGGAAGGTTTCATCTCACCACCACTTCAGAAATCAACCTGCTGTGCTGCCCTATCTGCTGTCTTCTGTAGGGTTAAACTTCTTTTAAGCTTGCACGAGACCTCTATGTTCAGCCACAGGAGAAGGTACTCCACCAGTGTAAATACTTTCGCATTTGCATCAAATCAAGCAGAACAGAAAAGAGAGACTCTGTCTGTCATTTATGAATGTTGCCTTCTCGATAGTCCTCTGCATTCTGGAGCTAAACAAATTCAGTAAGAGCAATGAGTCAGTTACTCTTCTATCTTGTCTCCTTTGATTCAACACATTAAAGTGTCGTTAATGTTTTCTTATCAGCATCCACAAATCAATCCCTATGTTCATTTGCACCTTATACTTCAGTTTTTCCTTGTCCTTTTCCCTTCTGCTCATTTATTTGCCTGTCTCTTTCCAACCTTCCTCTATCTAATTTTCTAAAGAATAGACAGTGAGGGCAGAGTATCAGGTGTTAGTGATCTCTGCTCCTGCACTCACTGCAGTGTTGTGCTCCCTGACTCATAATTCAGTTTCTTTCTGTTGGTTGAGAGAGAGAAGAGAGTTGTACGTATTTTTCATATGGAAGTTTTTGTGGGCAGCAATTTTCAGTAATGATAATTGCTGCAGCTGTTGGTAATCAATAATACATCTTCAGCAGAGACAGCACAGTAAACTAACCTCCTTTCACTTTTCATGGTTTCCAGAATATATCTTTAAATGACAAATTAAATTCTTATCAAACATGGGCATTATTGTAATGAGTATTGTCACAGTAATTTTTTTAATGTCAAATACATACAAACCAGTACTACTACTAAAGATCTATGTTGTTTTAAATATTTACAGTGTTTTAAAGATGATTGAAAAAATATTGCTTGGATGGTGATAACTGCAGATCATATATTGCAGGTTTAAATTTTAATATACAAGTATAGACATTTGTCCATCCAGTTGAAGAATTGCTACACTAAATGAAAAGAAAAACAGATTAGGAAATAGAAAATTAAAAAACGTATTTCTTTTCACAAATTTTTTAAGCATTTTGAGTTCAATGAAATTGAATCTCCATCCTTTGAGAGACTGCAGTTGCCTTCTAAAAATATTTGTGAAAATTCTGATTGTACGCTCTTGTATGTATTACAGGAACTAAGA